AAGTGGTTGCAGTAATCACATTTTACCACAGGATGTAATGCTTACTTCATTTCTACATAATGCACCTTTAACGTTTTAGGTTTGTATTAAAATCACTCATCCTAATCAAAATGACATATCTGATATAGCCACATATGATCAGTAGAATGTAATTATTTCATTAACATGTTAAGTAGTGAGCTGCTGGACATGCCAATAACATTTCATTTCTACTGGTAGCAATGTATTTAATGTATATTTAATCATGTACAGATTGGCAACATAATCCAGTCTATTCTATTTGAAGTTGGAAGTGTTTGTAAATTAAATTCTACAAGGCTTGCCATAGCCCTGCTGCAGTGTAGAGCAGACTCGTAGCAACAACCAGACTCCAGGTAGCTGCTACGGGTCTGCTCCATAGCTGCATCTGCAGACCTCCACAAACAGGATGGTGGAGATGTTTCTTCCATTTGTGGAGTTTAGTTATTCACAACCTTTTCTGAACCTCACTTGATCGGGGAGTGTGCTAACCGCTAGCATTAGCATGATCCAATCTGCCCATAGGTTAACTCTTGATCCCAAACTTGGGACAGTTTTTGCCTTGTACAGTGGTTTGTGTGTTTAATGGTTTCCAGTGGTGGCTGGTGAATTATTTTTATTTTTTTGTAGGGCGCATTTGTGCCCTCTGTTAGATGTGCTTACCACATATCACCACTAGGCTACGCTAAATTACCATTCCTATTGTAGAATCCATGCTTTCTACCTCAACAATGACGCAAAATAAAAGGCTGAAATAAAGCTAAATACACATATTGAGATAAACACACAGCAGCCGTTTAAATTAAAGCCCAGACTCTCCTCTTTACAACATTATTAGTACCATCACTCTACCTGCTAAGCTCATGGAGCTCAGCAGCAAAACAAAGCCAGTGTCATGAAGCCAAAGTGTTAATTCAGTCTTACCTTTGCTGATTTTTGGTCGTAATAATCCGTGTTATGGTAAGAAAACACTTTGTGTAATCCTATGTCCCAACGTCACATTAAGCTGAATCCTGACTGTCTTGGGCTTTGTGAACCTGCTGGAGTGTCTCTGCTGCCACATTCCATCATTGTCCGATTCTTTATGATATAAAAACTCCACGAGGTGTACTCAGCTGCTCTAAAACTAAGAACGGTAGCTAAAACATAAAAAAAGAACAGTGAAACTTGAAATGCGTCGCAAGACGATTCGGTCGTAGTAAAAGTGTGAAATAACATATTTAAAGTACACCTAAAAGCAGATTTTACACAGCACTTATAGTCTGTCTGATGTAGAGACAGTCTAGTGTAGTTTTCATGTATTTTTTAAAAATATTTTGAGATTCCCATCTTCTTCTTCCTGGGAGACTGGTGGGGCGGTGCCCTAGTGCCCCCTACGGACGAGCCGCCGTTGTTGGTTTTTCTGTTTTCATCCACAGCAGCTAGATAACCTCGTTGTGCCCGTAAAACGGGTTCAGACGGTGGTGCGTAGATTTAACGAAGCCTCAAATCGGTAGAAAATATTTCGGTAATTTGATTAATCGAACCGTTTGATGGTTGGTTTCAGCCCTAGACCTCTAAAGGAGTGATACACATGTTGGTCATTTATCTGCCTCTGCCCTCTTGCCTAGGCTGCATTCTGGGAACAAGCCGAGTTACAGATATGTGATCTGAGGTCACGCATGACTTAAACAGTTCTACTAGCTGTCTGTCAGCAGGGTCAGTGGGTGGATTGGGCGTGTGTGTGTGTGTGTGTGTGTGTGGGGGGGGGGGGGGGGGGGGTCGGTCATGTTCCTCAGGCTTTAGTAGAATTAGAGGAAAACATGTGACTCTCATACCTGGATAGAGAAGTTAGGAAACCTTTGCATGAAGAAGGATGCAAAGGTTTCTGAAGCAACATAGTCTAAATACTACAGATTGCTGGGTGCAGCTCCAGAGCCAAGGGTTAATGTTCTACGAGGGCAGCTTGTACACATAACTCTGCAGCGTTGTGAACAGGAAGGCCTTTGTTGAACCATGCCTTCATTTGAGCTACTTGGTATCTAAGAGTCTTGGTTTCTTTAACAAAGGGACCGCTCTGAGTTGCTTGAGGAGGCTAAGAAGATGGAAGCTGGCAAATTCCGATACATCCTTCCTGTGTATGGGATCTGTGAGGACCCTCAGGGCCTGGTCATGGAGTACATGGAGACCGGTTCTCTGGAAAACCTGCTGGTCTCTGAGCCGCTGCCCTGGGAGCTTCGTTTCCGCATCATCCATGAGACGGCGGTGGGAATGAACTTCCTGCACTGCATGAACCCACCGCTGCTCCACCTGGATCTAAAGCCTGCCAACATCTTGCTGGATGCCCACTATCACGTAAAGGTAAAGACGCTCACTGAGCTTCACTTGTGATGGTTGAACATCCTTTTGTATATTTGGTGAATATGAATGAACCAGATGTAATGTCCAGAAAGGGTCAGTTTTGACCTATATATTGACCTACATAGTGACCGGTCATCTACAGAACTAAATCCACCATCTAGGTGGATTTTTTATTCTATCTTCTAACACCCAGAAGATTCTGCAGGGCTTGTTGACAGTCCATGAGGACAAGATTGTCAAACCTATCTCAGACTGCTGGATTCCACACTCTGAATATGTGAACCTTTACAACTCATACACTAAATAGTCATTTATAACCATTTGGCTGAATGAACCAGATGTTATATGAAATGTTTGAATAATCTGTGCCTAATTCAGTGAAGTTGAAATGAATATTGTCTTAGAATGACCCATTTATATCGTATGATCAGGACTGTTTGATTTAACAAGGTAATCATTATCTACACTCCTACACAATGTTCATTAGATGCAAAGTCAGGTTAAGGACATCTCACGTCAAGTTTAAAGATTCTTTATCCACAGAACTAGAACATCTTGTATCTGGAAGGCGTGATTTTCTGAGGGATGTTTGGTAACGCCTACAACATGTCAAATTCTGATTCGCAGAAATCCTAACAAGTGGATTATTAAAACTAGACTGACTTCCCGAGTTATTCAGTTTGGAGCGGAACTCCGAAGGCCAACTCGGAACCAGCCTCCTTGAGACACTTCTCTCTTTGACACTCAAGCAAACCTATTGGCACACTGCCAGCTGACACATCCATACGGCTCCTTAACTCACTAGAGGTCATTTTAAATCCAACCGTTCACTGCCAATGATGACTAAAGCGTTTGTAGACACAACAGATTACGTCTGATGTTGTTTTATTAATAATCAACTCTCTAGTTTAAAGCAGACAACAAATTCTTTTACACACAGAATTCACAATTTCTTTCAGATACAAAAGTTCTGATAAACATCTACTTTACACCACACCACCCACACATCACATTGCATCACCGCATATACACTCCCTCACATATCATTATTCATAGCTTGTCATGTATTATCATTAGTTTAGAAAATAATAAAATTCCTTTTAACTATATACTGACTCTGCCTGGGTTAATACGAAGTGTGTTTATGGTCCCTGAACAAGCAAAGAACCCTAAACTTCTGGTTAAACACTCGAAGATCAGTCAGGTTGATATTTCATATTTATATGGAATCATCACATCTGATTGGTCATAATTAAATATGCAGTCGTTAAGCTATGAAGTGTGACACCACACTGGGAATGTGGTAATTTCTCATCACTTTAGAATAAATCACTGGTTTTAATTTTCACAGATTTTATTCCAAGGAAAGTGCAAAGTAAACTCAAAACAGTCACAGTTGTGTGTAAACACACCTGTCTCACCCTCTCTGAGTAACCTCTAGCTCAACCGATCAGTGCGACGGGTAGAAGCCTCCGTTCTTGTAAACACCTGAGCAAGGCCTGTCCTGACAGGATCTATTTAGATCCATAGCTCCTATTAAACGTGTGTGTGTGTGTGTGTGTGTGTGTGCGTGCGTGCGATGGGTGTGCACTCCTCCACTGCCGTGTAGGGCCTCTCCTCTCCGGCAGGTTGAGACTTGGCTATGTTGCCCTCATTATTCCACTGACAGGCATCCTGGGTTAGGCATCAGCGCCGCTGATCTGATCCTTTATCTTTCAGATATCGGATTTTGGTCTGGCTCGGTGGAACGGACTGTCTCGGGCTGATGACATCAGCAGAGATGGCTTCTGTGGTACCATCGCCTACTTGCCCCCTGAGAGCATCATAGAGAAGGATCGGGTGTCAGACACCAAGCATGACGTCTACAGGTTGGTTTTATTAAGACTAAGTCGGTCGGTTGTTCCTTCTAATCTGAGTCATTACTGAAATTTTTTTTTCCCGTGTCCTGTCTGGCTGTGAAGCAAACAGAATTAATGTCTGAATGCTGGTGACAAGCCTTACAGATTTACTCTCAGGTGGAGCATCAAAGCGTCTGCTTGTAATGTCACGCCTGCTACTTAAAACTTTATTGTTATTTGAATGCTTTATAATTCTGACCAGACACGTAGACAGAGGTGAAAGAGAAAGGAAGAAACTAAAGGAGGGGGGGGGGGGGGGGGGGGTGTATTAGGAGTGTTTACAAAAGTAAACAGTCAATGATGAACAAGAGTTTGCTTCTAGACCTGCAGAAAGAGAAAAACAAACAAAAAAAGGACACGACAATATCACTGGGTCAACCTAATGAGGAAATATAAAATCAACAAATAAAAAACAAATGTACGTCTGGTCAGGCTTAAATGTAAAGACTGGAGCCTTTTTATTGTCTGAATTGTTATAAATACCATCTTTCACTTTTGTCTTATTGTCTTTTGCAGTTTTGCTATAGTGATCTGGGGAGTGCTCACTCAGAAGAAACCCTACCAAGGTGAGCGGTGTTGCCACAGTTACCTTCAAATAGTAATTTGATTACTAACTACTAGGGGTGTAACAATATCCACATCTCACGATACGATATTTATTGTGATATTGTGGGGAGGCTCACAACATAAAATACTTTGACTGGTCATTAGTACATTTGTCATTAACTTTATTATCATTATGACATTTTGAACAGCCTGTAAAGTCATTAAGTGCAAAATTCAAGTAACGACTCCGTATAAATTTATAAAAGAAATGGCAACACGGGTACGGAATTAACAGCCAAAATAAAGGCATTATAAAACAGCCCATTCAATAAACAAAAATAGCAGACTGTGTGGGCTGCACGCACTCCCATTGGGGAAGTGGCCGATGATGCGGAAGCAAAGGATCATGGCCTATGTAGTTTACTTTGCTATGCTCCTGTGGAGCAGACTGAAAAATGTTATTCTTACCTTAAGACGTACTGCCCAATATCGTGACTAGACCACGACGATATTGTGGCCATTTTACTACGGCGATATTGTTACAGCCCTACAAACTACTGATAACTCCTTCCACAAGTAACTTGGTTACATTATGTTAATGGTGACTAAATTAGACTAGAAGTTACTTTGTTAATTATTTTCACCGATAACTAAACCCATTGCCTCTACATAAAAACCAGCAGTCAGTTTTGCTATGCTAATGCAACGCAGGGCAGCATGCTACAAGCAAGCATCCAGCATGACCAAACATACTGAAACCCAAGATTACTGATAACCACATGAACGGCACTGGAATCCCGCTTCTTGGAATAGAACCGCTACTCGCGGTGCAAAACCAGCTCCATCAGAAACCTGAACAGGAGACGAGCATCAGCCAGCACAAACCTGGCAACAAAGCTCCAACTAAACACCTGAAAACTCACAAAAATAAGACAAACCAGCTACCCCCAATACACCCCGCCCACTGTGTGCTCCGCAGTGGGCGGGGTCACTAGTGACTGCGGAACATGAAATTGGACATCTATTTGTACCACATACCCGTAAACACACACACGCTGCACTTGTTGAAGGTGTGTACAGGAGCTGGGGGCGTGTTTACTCTCTCGGAGAGGAGCACGGCAGCATCAGGCAGCTTCCTGTAGGCCGGTGCTGGTTCCGCCTCTCAGGATCCAGGCTAAATTAAAAAGTTAGAATATCCCCCCCCATGTTTTCCATTTGCATCGAGTATTAGAGCATCAGTAGCAGCTGTGAGCCTTTGCGAGCTTGTGGTGAATCACTGACTTAGCCGATCCACGGTCTGATGGAGCGAGGCCACGCCACGGCTGCTTCCCATGGCGATAAAAAAACATGGTGACGTCACGCCCGGACTCCGGAAGTTTAAGCTTCTCATTTAAGCCACCAGATATAGGACCTTATCAGTTCGACGTGCCTCAAAATGAACCGAACATGATGTGTGTGATGTTCCCCCCAGGAGAAAACAACATCCTGCAGCTCATGGTCAAAGTGGTGAAAGGGGTTCGTCCCGACCTGAGCACGCTGCCTCGGAGTCGACCCTCGGCTTGTGCCGGTTATCTGAGCCTTATGCAGCGCTGCTGGGCTACAAACCCAAACGACAGGCCGCCCTTCCACGGTGAGTAGCTCTAAGCAGCTGTTAACCTCTTGTATGCAGATGACGGATGGAGGTGTCACGTCTCTGGTTTACCAATCTTCTATGGATCTTCAATCCCAGTCCTGAATCGGATTCATTCTTTCATTGCAGAAATTACATCAGAAGCTGAGGAGCTCTGCTCTAAACCTCAAGAAGAGACCAGAACCTCAAGGTTATCATCAGAACCAGTACCCACATCTGCGAACCCACTCACCAATGACCAGGTAAGACGTGGTGACGGGACCTTTGATGGTGTATTTTTCACACATCTGACCTTCTGAGTCCCATTCTGTCCCGCTCTGGACTTGAGACGGTTCTCCACACCTTCATCTCCTCACGCTTAGACTACTGTAACTCTCTTTTCACGTGTCTGAGCAGAACCTCCCTGAACGTCTACAGGTGGTTCAGAATGCCTGTGCTCGGCTTCTGACCAAGTCCTCCAAACACACCCACATCACCCCGCTTCTCCTCCAGCTTCACTGGCTGCCAGTCAACTTCAGGGTTCATTTCTAGATCCTGGTTCTGGTCTATAGGGCCTTACATGGACAAGCACCATCTTACATCGGTGATCTTCTCAGTCCCTACACCCCCAACAGGTCCCTGAGGTCCAGTGACGGTGTTTGCTATAACTTTTGAGCTAGGACTGTCTCATGCAGGACATTTTTGAACCACGTAGGAGAATGTCCTAGCAGGCTGTTTGGCAGTGGGCATTGTAGTGACCTCTGACCTTTACATATTATAAATGTATTAAATTGGACAATAATCTGGTGATTTCTGCAAAATTCAGAAAATGAGGATGAGACGGTCCCTCTGCTTAGACAATAAACCTACAGAATTTATCAGGAAATTATGAGAGATCATCTTATAATTATCATAAATAATAATGCAACAGCAGAAACATCAGAATACTCATGAAAACATTTCTAAATGTTGTAATGGTTCATAATGTGAGTGATGTATTGTGATGTTACTGTTCCTTTAAGAGACGCAGTGATGAAGAGGGAAACTGAAAGTTGGAGATGCGGGTTTATCTCAGCTGTTTGTTAAACTACTCTAATAAACCACTGTTAGGGCACAATGTCATTCTGTCTCCGCACAAATATCACAATGATAAGTCACCTCGCCTTTGTAAGACAGCTGCTCAAAGCTTCTGGTGCAACGATCTATTAAAAGGGTGCGCAGAAGCGCTCCTCCAGGCAGCTGCTGCACACCAGAGACGATCTCTGATGGGTTATTGATAAGAGCGTCTGTGTCACGGAGTCGGAGCAAATCATCAACAGTCGATGTGTGGTTTTCAGGAGATTGGTTTTATTTAGGTGAGATCAGAGAAGAGGCACGTCGGTCATTTAGTTCAACAAAGGTGACAGATCATCTGCTGCTGTGGCTCCCAGACTCTGGACCTCTCTCCCGCTGAGCCAGTGGACTCAGTGGTCTCCTTTAAAAAGCAGCTGAAGACTCACCTGTTCAGGCTTTTGTGTGACCTCTTCTTGATTCTTCCTCACTAGTTTCTTCTGTTTCTGTCGATTCTGTCTTCTTCTGGATCCTGTTTTCTTTTATATGTTCTCAGCTCTTTTTTTTTTTCATTTTATTATTATTGTTGTTGTTGTTATTATTAATAAACAATATTAACAGATCTGGTTCCTCCAGTCTGAAGAACTTTCCCTCCTGGAGTCTCCATCTGAGTTCTGGCTTGTTGCAGGACTGTATGATCTACTATGTAGGCTGTGAGGGGCTGTGTAAGACATAATTCATTCTGTTACTCTCACATGAGCACATTCCACACTCTTACACACATATTTTCTCTACACACACACACACACACACACACACACACACACACACACACACACACACACACACATATATATATAGTCCACTTACAGTTTACATTCACATACATTCTTCTCGTACACACCCATACTCTTTACACACACACACACACACACACACACACACACACACACACACACACACACACACACACACACACACACACACACACACACACACACACACACACACACACACACACACACACACACACACTGTGTCCAAGCACATTGACAGGGAGAAGAAGGGACGAACAAGATGTGGTAGAGAAAACTACAAGCAACAGTGATGACCACATTCTGGAGAGGATTGTGAAACAAAACCCTTTCAAGAATTTGGGGGAGATTCGTAAAGAGTGGCCTGCAGCTAGAGTTGATGCTTCAAGAACCACCACACACAGCCGAATGCAAGACATGGGTTTCAACAAGGGATGTTCCAATCACGTTTTTTTGCTCCAGAGAATCTGCTTAGTCACAAGCGGATACTTTAGAAATGTATTAATGGTGTGGATTACTTGTTTAATCAATATATTTGCAGCGGTCTCTAGTAGGACGCCTTGCAGGCAGAACTCGGGGCACAAAAAAGCCCCCAAAACCCCAAAAATCTGCAACATCAGAGCTGTGCTTGTTTCTTTCTGTATTCATGTCTTTTTTTGTAGTTTATTTGCCATAAAACATCGTGTGTGTGTGTGTGTGTGTGTGTGTGTGTGTGTGTGTGTGTGTGTGTGTGTGTGTGTGTGTGTGTGTGTGTGTGTGTGTGTGTGTGTGTGTGTGTGTGTGTGTGTGTGTGTGTGTGTGTGTGTGTGTGTCAATGTTTACAAACTGTTATGGGAATTTGGGGTCATTTTAATTCTGTAAAGCACTTTGCTTGAAAAGCGCTTTATGAATAAATTCTGAGTGTGTGTGAATGTGTGTGTGTGTGGGTGAATTATACACCGTAGTATAAAGCGCTTTGGAGTCCTCTGATTCTGAAAGGCACTCTACAAATGTGGGTAATTTATGATGATGCATTAGTCTGAGCTGAGTCTGTCCTTGAACCTGTGCACCAGGTCCAGTTAGGACAACTGGTTAATGAGTAACTAACGAGCAGTTTATTGTCCCAGATCGGGTCACTGGGTGAGTTTATGTGCTGTGTAACTAGTCCAAAGCAGCCGCTGCATGACAGGAGAGGAATGTTGAGTGATGGGAGGCGTGTGGTGCTTTATCACTTCGGCTCGTGTTTGTGAATAATAAACAAGCCTGCTTATGGGAACTAAACTGTTATGCAGAAAAGCCCATCGGTAGGAACGAAAGTCCTCAGTTTGGCTCCACAGCTTTTCTTTTCTAACTCAAGCATCTTTTAATGTGAAGCTGTTTTTCTATCGTAGGAGTTGCTTCCATGTAATAACCGTGTGAACGTGAAGGAATGTGCAGAATGCTGGTGAACCGTTTGAAATGCTAACCACAGATGTTTCCACAGGGTAATGTCACCAAACCGGTGCGTCCAAAGTCGGCCATGTTGCCAGAAAAAGACTGCAGCCTGTCGGAGCTGCTGAGCCAGGTGGATTCTGGGATCTCTAGGAGCTTTGATCGAGTGAAGGAAGACGGCTGCCACAGCAAGGAGAATACCTGTAAGAGACTGTCGGGCATCTCTTCTGCAGACTCCGCCTTCTCCTCCCAGGACTCCATCACCCTGTCCTTCGAGAAGGAAAACACTGTTGGTAAGAACATATGAAAGACAGCACCTGGAAGTTTTTATTGTTTTATGAATGGATGGATGTTGAGGGTTCAGGTGAGCTGTTGCTTTCATCAGCTTTTTAAAAACCCGTTCTGTTCTTCCTGACCAGATTCAGCTGAAGTCCAGAAGAAGAAGCTTTGTGAGGCAATCAGAACCAAAGATACTACCAAGTTGATGAAGATCCTGCAGCCTCAGGATGTTGACCTTCTCTTGGACGAAGGAGGGAGCCTGCTCCACCTCGCCATCAGTTTGGGGAATGAAGAGGCAGTTAAGTTCCTCCTCCTGAACCACGCGGATCCTAACCTTGCCAATGACCGTGGCTCCACCCCCCTTCACCTGGCCACAGAGAAGCACCAGAAGTCTCTAGCCGAGCTTCTGCTAAACCGGCGCAGCGTCAGCATCAACGCGAAAGACGAGGACCAGTACACAGCTCTTCACTGGGCAGCTCAGAATGGGGATGAGGCCATGACACGGATGCTTCTGGACCGGGGGGCGGCCATCAATGAGACCGACGGACAGGGACGCACACCGGCCCATGTAGCATGTCAGCATGGTCAGGAGAACGTCATCAGGGTACTGCTGAGTCGTGGGGCTGATGTTCAGATTAAAGGCAAGAACAACTGGACTCCACTGCACTTCGCTGCCTGGCAGGGGCATCTGAGTATCGTCAAGCTGCTGGTGAAGCAGGCCGGGTCCGACATTGACGGCCAAACCACCGACGGTCGTACACCTTTGCACCTAGCTTCCCAGAGGGGTCAGTATCGAGTGTCTCGGATCCTGATTGAGCTAGGAGCAGATGTCCATGTGATGTCAGCTGGGCTAAACACGGCGCTGCACGTGGCAGCAGAAACGGGCCATACCAGCACCTCTCGTCTGTTGATCAAACACCAGGCAGACATAAACGCTCAGAATGCCCATGGACTCACACCTCTCCATCTGGCCTCGCAGCGAGGACACCTGGCCACAGTCAAGATGTTGGTCACAGAGGGTGCAGACCTCTACATATCCAACCAATCCCAGCGCACGGCCTGCCACCTGGCAGCTGAGAGCGGACACAGCGAGGTTCTGAAAGAGCTGCTTCTTCACTGTCCAGATGGTGGCACACTTTCAGATCAACAGGGGCTCAGCCCACTGCACCTGGCAGTGCAGGGCGGACATTCTGACGTCACCAAGCTGCTGCTGCCATACAACTGTCGGGGCTTAGTTAAAGAAAGCACAGTGCAGCCAGCAGCGCAGGGGGGGACCATGGCGCAGCGGGAGGACATGGTGCAGGAGGAAGCTACGGCTCAGCGAGAGGCCACGGCTCAGGGGGTGACCACGGTGCGGCGGGAAGCCACGGCTCAGGGGGTGACCACGGTGCGGCGGGAAGCCACGGCTCAGGGGGTGACCACGGTGCGGCGGGAAGCCACGACTCAGAGGGTGACCACGGCACAGCAGGAGGCCAGGTTGCTCCAGAGGAAAGTTGTTATTCTCAAACTGACAGAGCACAAGGACCGGGAACCCCCACTCCGAACAGTGCCTCAGCTCTGACCTAACAGAGTCAGTCTGCTGGGTTTGTATAGAACCGTTTCCAAACATTTGATTCCAGCTCATCTGTTCCCTCACACTTTGAGATGGGGGGGCTTTAAGTTCTTCTGTAAATATGTAAACAGGTGACACCCTCACCCCAGGTTACAGCAGGCCCTTGTTTTTGAGCTGACTGGGCCCTGATCTTACTGCATGTGTTCAGAATCAGGACCTTTAAGCCTTGATGTTGACTGCTTCTGCAGCCCCACCTGGAGACTTATTACCTGTTTGGCTCTACTTGGGACCATGCTTGGGTTGGCACAGACCATGGGAACTGCCCCTGAGGGGGATCACAAGCTGGAAGATGATGGATGGCTGAGAAGGGATGCTGACGTACTGCCGGCAATTCCAGCCTGTTGGCTAATTCCTGAGACCACTTTTAACTTTTCATCACTCTGTAAAACCAACACGCCTCCAGGGCACAGCTTTTTGCAACGTGAGAAAGTTTGTGCTGCTGGCTGGTGTTTGTGATGTTTTTTTTAATAGCTGGAGCTAGTTTAGACCCAGAAAAGCTGTGTAACTCGATGCGTATGTTGTGTACAAAGCTCTATTCTGCCTGTTGCCAGATGAAACTCTTCTTCTCCAGCTGAGGGAGGATAATGGAAGCTTGTTCTAGCTTGGCTTCCATCATCTGTCCAGCTTGCTGCTTAGTTGGAAATAAACGAAGGTTGGTTTTATGACACGCGTTTAGTTATTTCTTTAATTTAGTCTCACATTCCGCTTGGTTTGATAAAGGTTTCTACTCCAGAGTAGCAGTGAACCATACATTTACAATGAACAGGATGCTGTGTTTGTACAGACTTTAAGGTGCGTTTTGCAGGAGGAATGAGTGAAAAATTCACCACCTGGAGTCCTTGTTCTGATAAGAAATTAGTACAATACTACATTTATTTTAATAAAAACTGGGCTTTAAACGCAGAAACACAAGATAGGAAAAATAACACATTGGGTTGATTTTGTCTAGCATGCACTGATTCTTTGTGAAGGTCAGCACCAGGTACCGGTTCCTGTACAGCTCTGACCTGCCGGTGCCGATTTGGACTCATTCTGGTCTGTCAAAGACCCGTAGTTCACAGAGGAAACGTTTCAATGATTTTTTCTGATTATGGAGTGACTCTGGTGGTAAAATGTTCCACATCTGCGTACCTGTTATTGCTAACTAGAGCTCAGGGATGGTAACTTTTACTGCTGCTTTGCAACAGCGTGTTCACCGACCCAAGCAACGTTCTCATCCAGCCTCGGATGAGCCCGATCCTGCCCGAGAGCTGTCTGTACTGCTGCCCGCTGACCCTCTGGGTTGTGGATGAATGACCTTTATGGTGAATATCGTTGATGAGTGAATGACTGAAAAGCTTTTTTTGGCAGATGGTCTGCTTTCACTGTTGGACATTACCAGCAAGTTTTACATTTTGATGAGTCACACCTCGCCCTCCACCAGTCTGACAGAAGCCTCCATAATTAATGGATCATTCACTGGTCCACCTCGGAAGGTAAACATGGAATGTTGTAGTCTTCAGCAATGAAGCTCTTCAAACAGCTGCTTTGAGACTTTCAGAGAGCATGGGTTAAATCCTCTTTTTTTCCTCCCTATTTTAACCCCACAGAACTTGTTTAACAAGGTCTAAAATCCCGCCTCTGAGCAGCAACAAGCTGCAACATGTGGCTGTGACCTCAGGGGCGTGACCCTACTGCTCACTGAAATATGGGGTTAATGGCTAATCTAGCTAAGGATGAACGCACCACTAAAATGTGAGTTTAACTTCACTCCAGAGTCACGTAAGTGGAGTGTTCTGTTGTTTAGACCTTGTTTGTTTATTACCAGTAAAGTTGTTTCTTGGAACATTAGAGGTGGAGAGCTTGATTACCGATCACGATGAGCTTAAATTCCAATCCCTAGAGAGACCGTAAGTGTGAACCATAAAATGTGAGTATCCCCAGACTAGCATGCTGTCACTGAGTCGACGTGTGTCCTGTTTGCGAAGGGACGTGTCAGGATTTGTCTCCATGACATCAGTCTTGGCAAATGTGACTCAGCTTTGAGATGTGATCACAGAGTGAGTTATGGACAAAGTGAGCGGGCTTACAGCTTTAGAGATTAGATCGAGGGTCAGCGCAGTGACACGGGCGTAGCATTTTACAGGCTGCTAATGCATTTACAGTCCTGCTAAAAAAACAACAGCATAGACCAGCATGTGTTGTGTTTTGGTGCTGATCCAGCTTGGGCTGCTGATGATTGGGTGCTAGACCAGCCTCCCATCCAGCAAAACCAGCATCACAACACAACACATGCTGGTGACCACCAAAGCTGGCATATGCTGTTTTTTTCAGCAGGTACATCAGACTTGTGGAATTTTCTCATTAAGCTTGAGATAAACAATTCTTTAACCCCTTAGCATTCCAGCATCCCACCCATGGGATGCAACCCCATAACGATTATTAAACCTGGAAATTTACAGGGTTAAACAGTACCACCACAAATGGGCTACTTGGTGGAGCGGGTTGTAGCATGGGTACAAATCCACATTCTTGTGCATGTGTGGAGTAGGCATGTTCTCGTGCATGTGTGGAGTAGGCATGTTCTCGTGCATGCGTGGAGTAGGCATGTTCTCATGCATGTGTGGAGTAGGCACATTCTCCTCGTGTATGTGTGGAGTAGGCACGTTCTCGTGCATGTGTGGAGTAGGCACGTTCTCCTCGTGCATGTGTGGAGTAGGCATGTTCTCCTTGTGCATGTGTGGAGTAGGCATGTTCTCCTTGTGCATGTGTGGAGTAGGCATGTTCTCCTCGTGCATGTGTGGAGTAGGCACGTTCTTGTGCATGTGTGGAGTAGGCACGTTCTCCTCATGCATGTGTGGAGTAGGCATGTTCTCCTGCATGTGTGGAGTAGGCATGTTCTCCTCATGCATGTGTGGAGTAGGCATGTTCTCCTCGTGCATGTGTGGAGTGGGCATGTTCTCCTCATGCATGTGTGGAGTAGGCATGTTCTCCTCGTGCATGTGTGGAGTAGGCATGTTCTCCTCATGCATGTGTGGAGTAGGCACGTTCTCCTCGTGCATGTGTGGAGTAGGCATGTTCTCCTTGTGCATGTGTGGAGTAGGCATGTTCTCCTTGTGCATGTGTGGAGTAGGCATGTTCTCCTCGTGCATGTGTGGAGTAGGCACGTTCTTGTGCATGTGTGGAGTAGGCACGTTCTCCTCATGCATGTGTGGAGTAGGCATGTTCTCCTGCATGTGTGGAGTAGGCATGTTCTCCTCATGCATGTGTGGAGTAGGCATGTTCTCCTCGTGCATGTGTGGAGTGGGCATGTTCTCCTCATGCATGTGTGGAGTAGGCATGTTCTCCTCGTGCATGCGTGGAGTAGGCATGTTCTCCTCGTGCATGTGTGGAGTAGGCATGTTCTCCTCGTGCATGTGTGGAGTAGGCACGTTCTCATCCATGTGTGGAGTAGGCATGTTCTCGTGCATGCGTGGAGTAGGCATGTTCTCCTCGTGCATGCGTGGAGTAGGCATGTTCTCCTCGTGCATGCGTGGAGTAGGCATGTTCTCCTCGTGCATGCGTGGAGTAGGCATGTTCTCGTGCATGTGTGGAGTAGGCACATTTAGCATGGTTTTAAATTATGTTTTGTAACAGTGACAGCCCTGGTGAAAGTTGTGATTAATATTCAGAAGTGGAAATTAACTACACAACCAACTGGCCAGCCGGGCCAGTAAGTCAGAAAAGTTACCGGCCCCGCAGGTCATCTGCTAAAATGAGTAGAAATCACAACTGAAAAAAAAAAAAAGAATAAAAACGTAATAAAACAGGGAAGGTGAGTTTTTTTCAAACAGACATTTTAGGAAAATTGAAAATAAAAGAAAATAACAAAAGAAGCAAAAAAATGGAAGCTAAAAAAGTTTTTTTTTTTAAGATTTAAAAAATGCAAAGATGACTTATACAAATCTCTTTGCAAATGGCTGCTTCCTACAGGGCGTGGTAGTGGTGTGACGGATCAAAATTTTCACAGTTCGTATCATATCATGGTTTTCAGTCACGGATCGGATCGTTTTTCAGATCAGCAGAAAGAAAAAGAAAAGAAAAAAATAAATACCGGTAGCTTTGCTCTTTCAACATTTTCTCATGCTCATTTTGAAACTTGCTGTAAAAGCAGGAGCTACAGAGGGGTCCGATGCTCATTAAATGTTAAAGTGGCCTACATAAACACATGTTCAGCTTTCACTCATCTCTTAACCTTTCTAATACACTGTTTATTTTTCTAACATCCTCTTGTCCCCAACAATAGTTACAGGTCCCACCTTGTTTATGAGTTTTCCAAGGCATGTTTCACGGGACATACCACCCGCTCCCTCCTTTCACAGCCATACGAGGTATGAGTGTGTGGCCCTACATCGCGCCGTCAGACTGGAGGCGTCTGCGTGTGTACATTTGTGTTGTTTGTATCATTGTGTTTTACAGGGCAGCCAAAATGCTCTCATACATGCGACCTAAACAATGCAGAAGCAGAGGATCCTAGCTCAGTATAAGCAGCCATCTGCCACGACTAACTGGGGATCAAGAAGACAGAGCAGACACACACACACACACCAAGTAATGTTTCTATGGTTACATTGGGATTTCTTGGTAAATATTCTATTTGGTGAGAGATAAACTTTATTCTATTTATCCTAGTGAATCTATAATTAAACGGATAAACTAGTAGTAGCACATTCAATGTCAAAGAAAGTAAAGTGTTATCAGGAGAGGGAGAATGTTGCTAAGTGGTGTAACGTGATGGAGGTGCTATTCCACCGAAGGTTATTTACCCTCTCTGCACAGATGCCTCTGACACAGAACTAATCTGCATGAGACTGCCTCAAGGTCATGCATTTGCTTTTAAACTGCTTCCTTTCCAGCCCAAGAGAAGAATGAAGAAAAGGACTCTCTCCTTTTAATAAATCAAAGAACTCTATTTTTAATAAGCTAATCAAACAAACTGTTAGTCAATAATAAGATGTGACCAATCTGTGAAATAAAAATATTGATTACGTTATTATAATCCTATAGAATATTATAAGTAATATGACTTTAAATGTTTCCACTAGGTCTGATCTCACGTAGTGTTAAGACATGACACATTTGCTTTTACTGATCCAATCAGAATCTGCCAGATCTGACGGAGGCGTGGTTTAGGTGGTGCTTGGTAAACCTGTCATCTTTTCATTAGACCATAAGCCAAAACATCCGATGTATAAAACTATGCCCACGTCATCTTTAACGCTAGTTCAAAGCGTTCGAGAGATGTTGACGGAGTGGCCAATCCGTAACTTTCATGTTCAGCCGAAAGAACCAACGACAAGCTGGATAAAATCTGTTGCTGTTCCACCTGCTGCAACGGTTCCTTTCAGAATAACAGCTGAACCAACACGACCCCGTTTTGGGTCTTGTTAGATGCCGATAAACTGTCGTGACCCGGAAGTATCTCAAGACTGGTGGTCGGCTGCCGCGGCTGTTTCTACAGGCTTCAGCTCCACAAAGGTCCAAGCTGGACCCCTACACCTCCTGATCTAGACGGGGACTTCCACAAGGGTGCGTAGACCGATAGAATGGCGTCTTATGTGTTTATGAATCTCCTAACCAAAGCTTAGCGCGAAGACATCACCTTCATTTCCCACCAGAACTAATAGTTTCTTCAGATCTGCTGGTTCTGAGCAACATTCCACACTACACCATTCTCCGTCTCACTCACCTTAGTTACACCATACATTTAGTGTTAAAGTTAGTCTAGTTTTAATTTGTTTAGTAATAAATCTTTAAACTTTTAAAACCTGACTCTCTCTTCTGTTGTCTCTGAGTTAATACGAAGTGGTTACATAATCCCTGCAATAAAAAGGTCCAAACTTCAGGTTAAAAGGTACCCACAGATCCATAAGGTTGATTTCATATTTACTATGGAATCTTATGTCTTATGGCTCATTAAATAACATGTAAATTATCTCATTACAGTGGTTAGCAACAGTGTGCTAGCCGATGGCCCCCTCCATGAGGCTACCGCTGCTCAGCAAAACATCATTGTAGCTTCTTCTGGGGAGAAAAACACTTAGAGAAAAAATAAAGTTAACAGCTGAAATAGCAGGAAATAATACCGTTAAAGAGCAGATTGTAGTAGAATGTAATAGAGCGTGGAAAGTGGTCAGTGTTTCCTTCAGCAGTCTAAGCCTATAGCAGCATAACTACAGAGATAACTCTGGATATCCTAGCCTTTTAGATGGAGGCATGTTGGAGGCAGGGCAAGGAAGAGCCGTCTTTACCGACTGTACACTCCACCTCCCTCTACTCCCCCACTTGTCCAGATCTGGGCTAACATCAGATTTTAACCATAGACCCTATCAAATAAAAATGTTTTAAGCCTAGTCTTAAAAGTAGACAAGGTGTCTACCTCACGGACTAAAGCTGGGAGCTGGTTCCACAAGAGAGGAGCCTGATACCTAAATTATCTGCCTCCCATCCTATTTTTAGATATTCTGGGAACCACCAGTAAACCAGCAGTCTGAGAGTGAAGTGCTCGGTTAGGAACATATGGAACAATCAGGTCACTCAATTTAACAGGCAGCCAATGTAGGGAAGCCAAGACAGGAGAAATATGATCTCTCTTTTTAATTCTCATCAGAACTCTAGCTGCAGCATTTTGGACAAGCTGAAGACTTTTAACTACATTCTGTGGACTTCCTGAGAGTAATGAGTTACAGTAATCCAATCTTGATGTAATGAATGCATGAACTAGTTTTTCAGCATCACTCCTGGAAACGATGCATCTAATCTCAGCATAATTCCAAAGGTGGAAAAAGGAAATCCTACAAACCTGTTTAACGTGGAATTTGAATGACATGTCCTGGTCAATGATAACACCAAGGTTCCTTACTTTGTTCTCTGAGACTAATTTAATGCTATTCAGGTCAGGTGATTGACTAAGCAATATTTTGGGTCCAAAGATGAGAACTTCAGTCTTGTCTTGATTTAAAAGCAGAAAGTTTTGAGTCATCCAATTTTTTATGTCTTCAAGACAAGCCTGTAATCTACCTAACCGATCAGGTTCATCAGGGTTAATGGGTAAATATAACTGAGTATCGTCAGCATAACAGTGGAAGTTTATCCCATGCTTTCTAATGATTTTACCAATTGCAAGCATATATATAGTAAAAAGAATTGTCCAAGCACTGAACCCTGTGGTACTCCACAAGTAACCCTGGAGTATGAAGAAGACTTGTCATGCACATTTTCAAAATAAAATCTATTAGACAGGTATGATGTAAACCAGCCTAGCGCCGTTCCTTTGATCCCTACAACATGGTCAAGCCTTTCTAAAAGAACATTGTGATCAACTGTGTCAAGGCAGCCATGAGATCTAACAAGACTAGAACAGACACAAGACTCATCTGAGGCCATAAGAATATTATTTGTAACTTTCACTAGTGCAGTTTCAGTGCTGTGATGCTCTCTAAAACCAGACTGAAATTCCTCAAACAGATCATTAGTGTTTAAATGCCCACATAGTTGATTCATCGAGAGGAGCCAGTTGAGGTGGCTCGAGCATCTGGTCAGGATGCCTCCTGGACACCTCCTTGGTGAGGTTATCCGGGCACGTCCAATCGGGAGGAGGCCTAAAGGTAGACCCAGGGCACGTTGGAGGGACTATGTCTCTCACCTGGCCAGGGAACGCCTTGAGATTTCCCCGTTGGAGCTGGCCCAAATGGCTTGGGAGAGGGAAGTCTGGGCCTCTCGACTTAAGCTACTGGCCCCGCGACCCGACTCTGGATAAGCAGATGAAGATGGATGGATGGATGGATGGAAGGATGGTGTTACGTGCAGTGCCCCTTTTTGGCCACAAGGTGGCCTCAGTGGCTTCTGCCTCGCCTGTCTCTCCTGTGGGTGATTGAGCAATCACTTGTCAGTGATGAGTGATTGCTCACTCTTTCAGCAGAGTGAAGAGCCAAACGAGCCGGTTCATTTTAGTGAGCCGAGCCGCAAGAACCAGTTCTCTTAAAAGACCCGGAGTTCCCATCACAAGTCTCCATTCGACTCCATTGCATTTATTTCTACTGAGTAAGGTGCTTACCCAACTAAAAACACATTTTATCAAGCTTGTTCACAAAATCAGACACAAGGTATGGCATGATAATTAAAAATCAAATATAATTAAACTAAATAAAAATTAAATTAAATATAAAATCCTATCAGGTAGGCTAGAAACTTCACTAGTAATCCCACGTGATCTATTTTCAGTAGTACACCGGTTGTTGTAACCGTAGGCCGCAAAAAAACGGGCATAGTTGCTCACTCTGCATTGACTTTGGAGAGTGAGGACACCCATCCAATATGGCGGCGACGCTGTTGCGCTCTCTAGCGCCCGTCTACATGTTATGGTCGTTACGTCAAGGGAAAATACACTTGTTAGAATCGTAGGGGTGTACTCTTAACGGCTTGTTTACTTTTCCACCCTGTGAAAAACCATGTCTTTAAAAAGTTATTATCATCCTTATGTTTAGTTGTTATAATACAGAGATAATGTCTAAAATGTGCACCGTTAGGTTTTCTGTCATTCCGCTGGCGGAGAAGTGGTTCATTCGCTCAGAGGCTAAATAAAGACTTCCTGTAGGTCCTCAGTGAGCATTCTGGGGAGACCGCTATAATCGAGACCGAACTTTAAGTGTCTACACCCAGAAACAGAACCTTTCAGGACACACCGGCTGGAGCTAAGGTGAGTACCTAAGGACTATTCCTAATCACTGTAGGAAGCGTGTTTTCCGCAATTCGTTGCCGTTTCGCGACGCAGAATAACGGTCACGAAGCAGCCCGAACAGAGAGGGGCTCGGAGGATGCGAGTTCCTGCTAGCTTAACTTCTGATTAGCTGTGTTTCTATCGTCCCACCATAAACTCCCTGTGTAACGCATTACTGTAAAACACCGACTGTAGAGAGGTCATTTCGTTTGTTTATTTGAAGCTTCGACGAGAACAAACATAATCATCACCGAAGGTCACGCTTCCGCCTTTGACTGTGGAAAGTTTAATGCTAATCGAACCTCGATAATCAGACTCTCAGGGATTAGATCAGCAATTTAAACCTGAGTTATTGTCTGTAAACCGACAGACAAAGCCCACGGGCAGCAGGGTCAGCTCTGACTTGGCGTTATTAAAGGGCTAAATGCAGCCTTGACTTTTTTATTTCTAGCACAAGACTGGTGTAGTTTTGCATTTCATTTTGTGGTAGTTTGGGAGCCTACGTCTCCTCTTTTTCCGGTCGGCTCATGGGTCCTCGGTGTGATGGGTTCGCTACCTTATTTTAGGAGTAAAATTAAGAGTTTATTCGAACCAGCTCGAGCTCTTTATTGAAACACTTCCAACATACGCAGCCGCTAGTTGACTGTCGTAAAACCCCCGTCTCTGCCTACTGTCGTAAAACCTTGCAACACACATCCATAACATCTCCCCCTTTTACTTTTCTTTTAATCACCTTCCCCTTATCCAAACTCACCGTTTTTACCACCTGTACCAACCCGTTGTAACGTTTTGTAAGTGGTTACTTTTAATACATTGTAAATACAGTATAAAGATGTTCAATAAAATGTAATATTCCATAAAAATATGGATTATCAATATTATTGAGTCTGAGATCGGAAGATGGCTCACACAGAACTTGTCTAGTAGCTTCAAATGCACTTTATTCTAATGTTTATTTTATTTGTGCACACACACACACACACACACACACACACACACACCCACACCCACCCCTTAAAGGTTGTTTCATATTTCTTCTCCATCACTGTGGTGAAATGGGATCAGCCTGGTAGGTAGTTGTCATGGTAACCTGGGCTGAGCTGCTTGATCATCTCTATTGGGCCATTCCCATCTGTACCGGATTGGCCCGGGCCGGGTGGCCCCAGTCGGCCCCAGCCTGGCCCGGTTGATTCCACACATCCTTGTCTTAAGCCCATGTGGGCTGATTCTACCCACCAATCAGAGGCTTGCTCTAATGGAAGGTGTGGATTTGCTGTCAGCAGTGGGTGTGTTGGCCCTGGTCGGCCTGAAGCAGACCCCCTCGAGAAGAGGGCTGAGAATGAGCCTTGGTTGGCCCCGAAAAATACCAGGCCACCCAGATATGTAAACAACCTACGCTGCCCGGGCCGACCCGGTACAGATGGGAATGGCCCATATGAAACCTTGACACCGACCATGGACAGGAGTCTGGTGACCAACACTATTTGGTCGGACTACGCCGAGAGTCCATAAATATTGTAATATAGGCAGAAACTAGATCATTCCCTCAAAGATATCTAGCCGCCATAACTCAATCCCTGCTCCTGGATGAAAAACGGAACCCCCCCCCCGGACGCCCCGGACAGGGAGTGAAAAGTGGACATGTCCGGGGGAAAGAGGACATATGGTCGCCCTACAATAGCGCCAACCATAGAAATGTACCAACTAGTGAGAAAAGCAGTTTTTGATCTTTTTCTGCAGCGGTTTTAGCGCTTTTCGGCGCAATGCTGCTGATGCAGCGGCGCTGTAGTGGCGCAACGCTGCAACTGCAGTTAAAATAACATCCATATAGCTGGGGGGAGAGTGAAATCAGGCTTGGGCAGCACAAAAATAGCTTGAGGCGGCAGCCACGCAAATTTAAACACAGGAAAACCCCTGACGTGTGTCTGTGTGTTTTTATATTCAGCAGAAGTGCAATGGATGAAGAGGAGCAGTTTGTCAACATTGATCTGACTGATGATAATATCTGCAGTGTCTGCAAGCTGGAGACAGAAACAGGGACCATGTCTTTCTGCCACGTCTGCTTTGAACTCAACATTGAGGGTAAGGACTGGGACCAGGGGCTGGGTTAACCTACCAGTTTGAGTGATCTGAGCTTGGAAAGTCCAAAGAATTTAGAGAAAAAAGTAACTAAGGAGCTCTGTTATTTCAGGTTATCAGCGGGGTCTAGAACAGGGTATCCGCGGGTCCTTTGAAAGTCTTAATAAGTCTTAAATTTGCTTTTCCAAATTTAAGGCCTCAAAAATCCTTAAAAATGACAAATAATCCTTAAATAGAGTTTCCAAAGGTCTTAAATGACCAAAGACCCAATAAACAAGATTGTTTTATTTCTATAAAATGTTTGTGAATTTCTCTTTAGCGTTCAGCATATTTCGTGTACGATATTGGCGTAAGCGGAACTGTACACATTCAGCTGGTTGTGAAAGGGGGCTATTTTTTGATGAGCACATTAGCTGGTTAAGCTAGTGGGAGCTTGCTCCATGGGGAAGTGCAAGTTTAATGGTAACTGGATGGCTAATCCCACGTTCCAGGCAATAGCTGGAAATTATAGCTTAAATTCTATTTTTAAAAATTGCTTAAATTTGGTCCAAGTGGCCTTAAAAAATGTCTTAAAATGTCTTAAATATGGCTCCCTTAAACCTGCAGATGCCATGTAGAAAAGGCTTAAAAGTCTTGGGGCGACGGTGGCACAGGAGTTAAGTGCTCGCCCCGTAATCTGAAGGTTGCTGGTTCGAGTCCCGCTCAGTCTGTCGCTGTCGTTGTGCCCATGGGCAAGACACTTAACCCACGTTGCCTGCTGGTGGTGGTCGGAGGGACCGGTGGCGCCAGTGCTCGGCAGCCTCGCCTCTGTCAGTGCGCCCCAGGGCAGCTGTGGCTACATTGTAGCTCATCCCCACCAGTGTGTGAATGTGTGTGTGAATGGGTGAATGACTGATTGTGTTGTAAAGCGCCTTGGGGGGTTCTAGGACTCTAGAAGGCGCTATATCAAATACAGGCCATTTTACAATTTTTTAAAAAACGGATTAAAGGGAAATTTAAGACCCTTAAAAAGTCTTCTATTGTTTAGTATTGACGTGAATTTGAAATATGTTCGTTTCATACTTACAGTGTTGTTGCTTTTGGGCGAAAATTGCTGTTTATGAAGCCAAATATGACGTTTACGTGAATCAAAGAGATTTTGTTTTTAAGAAAGGTGACTCTTTGGTCAGGTTTCAGTTGCTTTTTATAAGAATCGCTTTCAGAAAAAAGAGGAGCGTTCATCTTGTTCACAAACCATCTTTGTTAGTGGGTCACGAGTCGACCAATCACAGTCACGGAGACAGCTTGTCAAAAACATGCTGCGGTAGCCGGTGTCGCAGCGCTACAACATGTGTGACTCTGTGTTGCCAACTCAGCGATATTCCTAATGAATTTTCAACCCCCCTTCAACAACTTTTTTTCTAAAAAGTGCCTAGTGACATTTTTGATGACCCCTTATTTCTGACTAACTTTCTTGTAGATGGAACTCGTCACCCGAGAGCTCCCAATTAAAGCACTAAAAGCACAAAATATTCAACAAAGTAAACTAACTACCAAGTTTGTTTCTGAGGACGAACAGAATCCTCCCCATCTGAGTCGAACAGTCTCAGACATGTTCACCTCCATCTGTCCAGCTAGTGGGTGGTCTGAGTTTGGCTGAACTTCTCCAGCAATCCAATGTCTGTTGTCGTATCCCAGAAAAACAAATCTGACCAACTAGCAGAGGTTTCAGAAGCTACATCTAGCTGATGACACGTTGTCTTTTGCCATAATGCTAACACAGAAACACCATAGCTCTGTCACTGTTTAAGCCTAATTTATACTTCATCAGCTCCCCGAGGGAGAGACGCACACACACACACCTGGGCACAAAGACACCCCCTCCCCTCACTTTGTCTGGGTCTGGCAAAGCGCTGCAGGCCCCCCACCCACCCCACACCCCACCCAGAGCGCTACAGCACCACCGCACCTTTGGCCCAGAGGCTAAATGGACCTAGATGGGCCAGGAAAGGTGGATCAGAGCAGGAGATATTGAAAAAGTAGGAAGCTCTGGCCACTGATGCATGTCCAGGCTGGCCCGTATGTGATCATGTTGGGAGAACCGGTTTAAGGTGGAGTTTTGGGCCAGTTTACTTATCGCACAGCGTGCAGTGCTGGGCACATGGGGTGGGGTAGGGAGGGAGAAACGGCAGCTGTCAGGTTCTGATGATCAGACTCATATCCTTAGGGATGGAGAGCAGAGCTTTGGGCTGGTACCGGTACTGCTGCCACTTCTAAATACAACCTTTCAGCATACCAGCACTTTTCTGGGGTACAGTGTGTACTGGTAAATTTTCCGGGTATTCATCAGTTGAAATGTCAGAGATTTCTGAAAAGATATCAGTGTGTCCTCAAACACCAGTCATCCACAGTCTGGCACGCGCTCCATGAAGGGCCGCATTTTGTGCAAAAGGCGCATCGCTCCCGCGCGTCACCATCAGCTCAGGCAGGGGAGAAAACAAAGCTGTTTTCCCACAGCGTACACATTCCTGCAATGAGTAGCAGCATCAGCTGGCCAGCCACTGGTTAGACACTCTGACCGGCAAATAGATCCATGGAGGAGAGATGGTTTCTAAACTTTTTGCTTTCCTTGATGTTGGATGGCCTGCATGGTGGCGCAGTTGTTAGCACTGATGCCTCGCAGCACAAAGGTCGCAGGTTCGAAACTCGGCTGCGGCCTTTCTGTGTGGAGTTGCGTGTTCTCCCCATGCATGCGTGGGTTTCCTCCGGGTACTCCGGTTTCTCCCACAGATCACAACATACCCGATAGGCTATAAATTGTAAGTCGCTTTGGATAAAAGCGTCTGCTAAATAAACAAACAAACATAAACATACTACTAGTTTACCCGTTTAATTATAGATTCACTAGGATAAATACAATAAAGTTTATCTCTCGCCAAACAGAATATTTACTAAGAAATCACAATGTAACCATAGAAACATTACTTGGTGTGTGTGTGTGTGTGTGTGTGTGTGTGTGTGTGTGTGTGTGTGTGCGTGTGCGTGTGCGTGTGTGTGTGTGTGTGTGTGTGTGTGTGTGCGTGTGCGTGTGCGTGTGCGCGTGCGCGTGTGCGTGTGCGTGCATGTGTGCTCTGTCTTCTCGATCCCCAGTGAGTCGTGGTGGATGGCTGCTTATACTGAGTCAGGATCCTCTGGAGCTTTCTTCCTGTTAAAAGGGAGTTTTCCTCTCCACTGTCGCTGCATGCTTGCTTAGTATGAGGATTGCTGTATAGTCACTGACACTAGTCAGTGACTTGATGCAATTTGCTGGGTTCCTTATATAGGAAACATTATTTCTGATTGGCTTAATGAACTGACCTGTACTGGAATGTTTATTATGTGAAGTGCCTCGAGACGACTCTTGTCGTGATTTGGCGCTATATAAATAAACTTGAATTGAGTTTAATTGAATTGAATTAAACGGAAATATTTACACGTCATACAGTCATAAAATAAGAATTTGTCTTTGAAAAATAGTTAAATGTTAAAAAAAATGTATTTACTTACAGATATAGTGTTAGAGGAACTGAATTAATTGATAGGTTATTTATTTACAAATGTAGATAAAGAAGAAGACAATCTTGTACGAAAAAAGCATTAAAAATGTCAATAATTGAAGAATCGTGGCACCAGTAATCGAATCGAATCGTGAAGTACCCTTTTTGGAACACCCCTAATATATACTGGTCTGTCTAGTGAAAGTGAGAGGTTCACACACACACACACACACACACACACACACACACACACACACACACACACACACACACACACACACACACACACACACACACACACACACACACACACACACACACATTATATACATAAAAAATATAAAAACATAAAAAATATGTATATTTAATGTTATGTTTACAAACAGACCTGGTTGGCTTTGATGAAAACATTACACCATGTCTGACCATTGAATGTGTGTTTGTCCGAATCAGTCTGTTATTGTGTGTTACCTTTTGCTGGTTGAGCGTGCACTTATGGGTTTTGTGTGTTTAAATGCAGGTGTCTCCTCTGTTGCCCTCTTACACTCAAAGTCTCTGCGAGGCCACAGAGACTGCTTTGAGAAGTGCCATCTGATTGCCAACCAGAAGCTGTCCCATTCCAAGGTCTCCCGGAGTTCCTACGAGGGCATGAAGCTGGCCCTCAGCCAGAAACTCAGCCAGATCATCCATTTTGCCCAGAACAAAGATTCATCCAATGGCTGCAGCAGACGAGGACCAAAGCTTCTTTGTTACAGCCAGCAGAACGACCTGAAGCTGCTGCCACAGACTGATGCCCAGGTGCCCCGATATGCACCCTCCTGGGACGGGGGCAAAGCAGCAAGGCTGCCTGAGTACACCATGGGCATGCTGGGAAGTCAAACTGAGGAGGTAGAGCTGCTGAATGAGTCTCAGTCTGATACTTGGAGCAGTCTACACAGCCAGAGGCCGTCACCTGGAGGACCGGGTCAACTCGGACACGAAGGCCACAGCAGGGAGGAACGTAGGTGTAACCTTCCTCAGAAGCTGCTGTGTGGTTCTTTACTCTTATTTAATCCTGGGACGACATATTTAGGGCCTCATTGGGCTGCAACTAGTTACAGACCCCAAAGTGCAGGAAAATATTTGAACCATCTGCTGGAGATGCACTTTTCAGAAATGCAGATATGATGTCATAAAAAACAAACGGCAACCCTCAAACATCTTGTCTTATTTCTGTCCGCCGTTTTTAATTTTTATTTTTTTATATACAATTTACCCATTTTAGTCGCTAGGATGTCTCAAGAGTTTCTCACGTGTTCTGATTCAGAAAGCAGACACTCGCAGAGACTCTGATGGCTTTGTTAGGAGGAAAGATGTTCGCAAAACAGAACCTTAGAGGAGAAATGTTAGAAACTCTCCTCAGCTTTGCAATGACAGATTTTTGTTTAATGCTGCAGGCATGCATCAGACATGCATAGTGCATGCCCCTCTCTGCTTCTTCTCTTCTTAACTTAGTTTCCCAAAAGACGCTTTGTTCTCTGTCACTCCTTTAAAGAGCAAGTCACCCTCAAATCACATTTTTTTTGCTGATAAACTATATAAAGGAGTGTCTAATCATGCTACAGACACGTGTAGTCAATAATTTGGCACTTAAGTGCATCTTGGTTAAAATTCAAATATTCTGCCTAAAACTGTCAGTGTTGCGCCGTCGTCAGATAAAAACTCAGCACTGCATTTGAATTTAAATCTGCCACCGCTATTGGCTAAGAGGTATGCTATGATGTCATCTGGTACATTATGATGTCATAATGCCATTGTGAGCCTGTGTGTGTGTGTATTTGTTAGCAGCTCTGCCCTCTCCGTCTGCCAGGCAACAGCATTTGTTGCATTTTTCAAACATGAAGTGGGAGTGAAGTAAGTTTCTTGTAGGGGGTGACTTGCTCTTTAAATCATTCATGAGATTGATTGGCCTTGTTTTTGTTGTATTTCTCTCATTTTCATGAAATGAGAAGCTTTCTGAAAACCTTTTCTGTAAACCTAAATGTCGACTGAAAGAGTTTCACTTTAGTGGTCGTACTGGTGTGTGTTGATGCTGCACACGTCGGTGCACTGGTTCCACATAAGACCAGACACCAAACTCACTGTCGGCTTTTCTTCTAGTGAGTGGCATGAGTGTGGAGGAACTCCGTCAGCTAAACGGACAGCTGCTGAAGCAGATCCAAAGTAAGTGGCTTCTTGTGCACACACACACACACGCACACGCACACGCACACGCGCGCACACACACACACACACACACACAGCATCTTTAGGGGAAACGTGTTACAGCTTGTTGATAAACCTGCAGAGGTAGCAGCTACTTGTTGAACTTGTTTTTCTCTTTTATCTGATTATCAGAAAAACGATGTAAACAAAGTGAAATCAAGATGGCACTTCCTGTAAATGGCCTGTATGGCCTGTATTTGATATAGCGCCTTCTAGAGTCCTAGAACCCCCCAAGGCGCTTTACAACACAATCAGTCATTCACCCATTCACACACACATTCACACACTGGTGGGGATGAGCTACAATGTAGCCACAGCTGCCCTGGGGCGCACTGACAGAGGCGAGGCTGCCGAGCACTGGCGCCACCGGTCCCTCCGACCACCACCAGCAGGCAACGTGGGTTAAGTGTCTTGCCCAAGGACACAACGACAGCGACAGACTGAGCGGGACTCGAACCAGCAACCTTCCGATTCTGTGCTACGCTGCTGGACGTTTGTTGTGTTTTATAGTCTAATTTGTTGCTAACTTTTATTTCAGTCAACATTTTATTTTAAATGCATTCATTTCCATCCGGCAGCAAATGAGTGGGAAGAATAACGACATTTAAAATATAAAACCAGATGTTATAGAAGGGCGATTGTTAGAGAAGAAGGAAAGAGAAAGAATGTTGTTACAAAACATTTATCCATGTGCTGCGTAACCACTAGCGCTGGGGTAAACGATTATTTTAAAGCGATTATTCAGGTGAATATTTGATCGAATAGGCGACTCTTCTAATGACTAATTACACAATTAATCTAATGATTATTTTTTGTTGCACGATTATTAAAAACCAGAAAATCACAAATAAATACCCTAAAAATGTAATAAAGGAGTACTGTAAAAGAGTAAACACTACAGGCCTTCCATTTTGTACGCCACTGCTTTTACTTTGTTGCGGCGGGTTGTGCTCTGGTGTCATGTAGAGCTTGGGAGTGCAGGCTGCTGAGCCGGGGAGGTGGTTGGAGACAGTTTTGTTCTCCGTGCTGCTTTGTTTTGGTCACTCACGTGTGTGTGGCGTAACGACCCTCCACTCCTGGGGACTTTGGCTTGTGTGCAAAAAGGAAGGGACAATAACACAAGATTTAAAAGTTAAAATGATGATCAGGTTTATTTACAAAAACACCTAAATAAAGATGTCCCACAAAAACATGGCAAATATTACTAGGTTCAAAATAAACCTCTCAACAGGTACAAACTCAAAACTGGGTGGTTAAACCAGACTAAAGGTGATATTTTAAACAAAAACCACTTTTTTTCCGGAACTGCGCTGCTCTGGGTGGCTGCATGTTGGAGTAGCTCTGTTGACTATATGTAAGTTTTGCCTTTTCTTGGGCATTTTTTCTTCTGGTTTCTCAAGAAAAACTGTATTTTTTGGACACTTTACTTTTCTGTTTCTGGTGCTGTGAAGCTTGGAGGATTTTTACTGCTATTGTTTTAGCTTTTTTCACTTTTTGAGCATTTGTTATGATGCGTAACCATGGCAACAAGCTGGTTTACAATCGGGAGCAGCTGATTAACATTAGAAAGGCTGAAATAATACCTCAACTGAAGCCACAAATCCCAAATGAGCTAAAACGCAGGAAGCGTGGGTGCAGAGCGGGAGCAAAACGGAGACAGAGAAAGAGGAAATTCAAACCATCTCTTCCATCAATCATAATGGGCAATGTGAGATCACTGGCCAACAAGGTGGAGGAACTCCAAGCCCTTTCAAGGACTCAGCCAGAGTATCGGCAGTTTCGGAACCGCTGGAGGAGATCATGCAAAGAAGGATTCTCCAGAGAATCAAGAAAATGATGGACAACCCTGAGCATTCTCTTCACAAGACTGTCCGACAACGGAAGAGTGTCTCCAGTCAGAGGCTTCTTCAGTTTGGCTGCAACACTGACCGCTACTGGAGATCCTTCCTGCCAACAGCCGTTGTAATATACAACAACTCTTTGATGACTTGATTATCATTATTACTCTGAGCTACTACAGCAATCAATTTCCCTCTGGGATTAATAAAGTATTTTTGAATTGAATTGAAAAAAAAAACCCCACAGTGCTCTAAATGTAACCAAAAGTGAGATCTACTCCACACAAAAGATCAACTCTAAACCAAAGCTTATCCAAACTAGGGTTGCAACGATTATAGTCTGAGAAATAATCACGGTTTCACAATTACCTATGGTTGTTGCTTGGTCCTCACTTTTTTAAATTCTTAACCCAATTCACAATAGGAACAAAACAGAGTAACGCGTTGATGATGCAACATGTTTTAATTTAGACTGAAAACAATAAGTACAACAGGTACATATTGCCAGCTTAACTTAAACCTTCTAATTTTCAAATAACATGACTGAATTGTCTGAATGTAGAACATAATTCAAATTAACACACAGCAGAGGACAGCTTTCTGATGTTGTCTGCTGTTAGCATGTTTATCAAACGCTGGATGATTGAAGTTTTTAGTGCCTATGTAAAAGGCGCAGTTTGTGTCTGCGAGGGTGGGATTTTCACAGCATAATCTGCACCACATCTGTGCGTTCTTCTGCGCAAATACCCTTTTCTTCTGCGGTTCCGACTCAGTCTGTCGTGTTTTTGGAGGCGGCGGAACACCAAAATCATGACTTAATGGAGCTTGCTCCTTGGACATCTTTAAAATGCTCCAGAAATGTCTTTCTTCCTCCACAAAATCTTAGGTGCACAAATGCGTGCTGCAGCTTTTTTTCAGCTGCGCATTGTTTATTTTGACAGCGCACGCGCACCTGCGGACCGCTTATGTGCACACCTGTTTATAAGTAATAAGTGAATGCAGTAAATCCACAGGTGATAGAAAATACGATTAAATAAGCCTGAATATTTCCTCCCACCGCTCAGCTCTGTTAGAAATGCTTCAGCTGGATGATGTCACATAAAAATGTGTTCACAGGTCTTTAATGAAGAAACAATTTTAATCATTTTTTATTTTAATATTGATTTTATTTCGTTTATAAGGTTTGGATGTCTGAACATTACAGGATATTCCGCCCCTCGGCAGCCTGGGAATCGAAATAAAAAATGTGAACGATTCCAGGAAAAGCTGACGGTTTGTCCCGGTTCCAGTCGATGCTCGATGCCGAAGCTTAGTGGGGATGTTGTTCACGTGGGCGCACCTTGTGTTACTTCAGGGTATTTCAGCATCTCCTCCAGTGAAACTAAAACATTAAACTTTTACAATCTCCTGTCTAAAGTGTGCAGCAGACCTGAAATTAGGCTGTTTGTGCAATTTTAGTTCTTCCTTTTTAAAAATTCACTACAGATTTATACAAACTCTCCAAAATAAAAATCCACACAAATCTCTGAATTTGCACATTTAGTTGATTTGTTGACATTTAGAGAAACGCGTTCTTCAGATGGAGCCTGGTTGTTTTCTTTTGCTATTTAAGAACAAATCTGACTCATGGATACTACATCTGTAGCTGGAGTACTACATCTGTAGCTGGAGTACTATCTCAGTAGTTTCAGCTGATTCCTCTGAGCTCACCCTGTTTCTGCTGCCGTCCTTCCCACAGCGGTGTTTGAGGAGCTGACGGCTGCTGTGCAGGAGAAGGATGCCTTAGCGTCAGAGCTGCACGTCCGTCACGTAGCCATCGAGCAGCTCTTTAAGAACTGTGCCAAGCTGCCCTGGCTGCACATCAGCAGGGCGGGGGTGAAGGCCAGCAGCAGTGGAGGAGCTGTGGAGTAAATGAGGAGGCTTTCTGGATCTGCTGTGGGAGACGAGAGCTGGTGAAGACCTGGATCCTGGTCCACTTTAGGACACTATCAAGCCTCCTGGTTGTGAGTTCTGCTTCAACGCAGAATAAAGGGCTTTTGCTGCAGAGCTGACGCAAGGATTAAAGAGTTTCTGCTCTGGAGGATCTCCTGGGTCCTACCAAGTACCCAGGACGGGGGGTTAAAGTGTTGATGGCAGGTTTGTGTCATTTCCTTTTGTGTAAATGTGTTTTATTCTTACATTTCTACTTTGTTTCATGAGATTGGGTTATCCATGGGTTTTGAAGCTGCTGTATAGTAGACCAGCCTGAATCTGGGGTGATGCACTGCAGGAACAAAACTACGAGGAAACAGGCAAACTCTGGTGGTTGATACTGGGTTGTGTACATGTTTCTGTGTCAGTTTAGTCTTTGGTTATGCTTTTATGTGTTTGCAGTTTATCTTTATTTTATCTGCATTTGGGTCACCAGCCTGTCTCCAAGTTCTCCCACTTCTCCAGTCGAGGCAGTAACTCAGGCTCCCAGGTTCCTGTGACCGGTGTGGAGACCCCTCGGTAATGATTTGTTTTTATGTTTTCGTTTGTTTAGAAACAGACTCCGCCCACTTCCCACGGGTCATAGTTTGGATTTAAAACCCAGATTCTGCTTTTAAATGCCTATTTCTTTACGTGAAGCCCTTTTATGTTTGTTGTTTAGCTATGAAGCACAAGTACTTGTAGGTTTGCTCTGTTAGAGCAGGAGAACTGCACCAAAGTCTGCATTTGTTCAGTACTTTAGAATCGAACCACCGACGTTTGAAGGCTTCTCTAAACCGTAGATTACAGCAGGAACATATTCAGTGTTAATCCCCTCCTGCTCGGTGAGACATGGGTGGATTTGAGCAATAAGCCGTTCCTGTGTCTACAGGAGCCCCTGGCTTTTGAACAAAGGGAGACAGATGAACGAACTCTATGCAAGTTACTAATAGATCTGACGCCTTATTGTGTGACGACACAAGATCAGAGTTTATCAGCTTTAGACTGGACGGGAAAGGTCAGCATTGTTGGTGTGCTCGCTCTCTTTATAAGAGATTTCATATATTTGACCATTTTAGGGTCTAAATAAAAGTTTTAGCTGCATTTTAAAAGTTATCGTGGTTCCTTTGAGTGATTGTGAATACCAGTGTGGTTTTCCTCTTCCCTGTTTGGAACGCTGTGTCTGCTGTAGCAGCACGCCTGATGGAAGCATGTCTGTTACACTTCCACATCCAGCATCCAACTCTCCATTTGGCTGCAGTTGACGTTTTACTTTCTATTTATTGTGTGTTGATGGACCTTTTGGGTTGTGTGATTTGTGCTCAACTAAACTTTTTCAATAAAATCATGTGAAATGGAAATACTCTGGTGTTAAAATGAACAAATACAGTGTTGGACTCCTCTGTTGTTGTTTTTGGTTTATTTTTATTACCTCAACGTGTTTCCGACAAACCCAGGCAGCTTTAATTGAGTTAAAAATGCTATTGGTTCCTGAGGGGAATTAAATAAATGGGGATTAATTAAAATGATCCCTGAAATCCCTCCGAACCAACACCAGTCTGACCAAGGTAAGACCCACAGTCGTGTAGGACAGACAGATGCAGGCACGCCGGGGCAGCTGTACAGGGCACTCCTGAGTTCAACTAGCTGTCACACACCGGGAGAGTCTGGACGCGGCGCAGCTTTCTCGCTGTGCTCTTAGCTGGACTCGTTAGATTACGAGATCCCTCGATCTGCCATTAAACCGAACAAAATGAAATTACGTTTGATATCGCTGTTTGATGTCATAAATGCTGTTGTTCCTCTCCGCTGCCTGGATGAAAGCCTTGAAAACACACCGCTGCACTTCTGGAACGATGCTGGGAGTAAATAAGCTGTTGGGTCACACGTAAGCTTCATGTATGAAATTGTGTCGCCGCAGTGCTTTTATTTTGAAATTTAGCTGTGATTTTGCACTGAAACCGAGTGTGGTTTCCTGTCTAGCCTTATGTTAACTGTAAAATTTGACACACCCCAGAAGCGGAGTGTGGCAGAAATTGAACCTGATCCTATCTTTAGCGGTGCGACGTTCCACTTCTGAGACGCGCCTGGAAACAGCCGCGTCGCTGCTGGTGTGAAACGGTCCATAGACTAGAATGGATTCTATTTGAAGCAGCGCTGTTCCGCGCCGCTGATGCTTTCAGTGTGAAACCGGAGTTACGCAGCGCGGACTTTAATCAGCAATTTGTCGACTTTGAAGCCAGAAAAAGATTTTGATTGCTCAGTGTTACGAACGCCGACCAGACCTCTGCCTTCAACTCCAGTCCTGAAGCTTCCGGCCTCCAGATTGGTCCAGAGCGGCGCTCCTGTGGACAGCGGATGAGCGCAGTTGGGCGACATTACCGTTAACTAGTTACACAAGAAACAAAAAAAAAAGTGATCTCAACTCAGGTGGTGCCTCCAGAAAATGTTTATGGGGTGGCCAGATGGGGCCAAAGAAACTAAGTTGGTCCTAACTCTGGGAGAGTTTAGCCTGTGGCGATGTAATACATTGCTCCTGTATTTGTTTTTATTAAAAAACATTTATCCAAAACCTTTAACTTACATTTTCACACACAAACATTTCATAAAAATACATCTCAGGTATTTAAAATTTTATTCCAAATTTATTTGAAAATGCATGTTTTTAGGTAAATTCACCAGTTGCTGTGTTCACAAAAAACTATGGAAATAAAAAGGTTAAAAAATGGTGAGCGGCAGAAACTTATTTTTTTAAATTCTGATTATTTCTTTACTCAATGTATTTTTTAATTTAGTTTTACAATTATTTATTGAATAAACAATATCAATATATGGTTTAACTGAACATTAATATGATTTATCAGTAATATTGGAATGTAATCAATTACTTTAAAATGAGGGTAACAAGTATTGAATAATGCATTACACTATTGAAGTAACTGGTTGTAAAGCTCACTTTTGGGTTATTCTTCGTTTTTCCTCTTCGGACGAGTTTTGAGTCATTAGTAGATAACGAAACTATTTCCGTTTAGATTACATCCTTATCATTTCGTTTACATTTAAATTCCTTATTTAATAGTTGTTTGTGTGCCTTTTTTCCAATCACCTCTGTTTAATAATTATCCATTTCGTTAAAATAATAGGCGTTTCTTTTTGTTAAACGCCCTCCCTGTGTTTTTCCTTTTGTGCCCTTTAATTTCAGATAAAATAATTACTGATTTTACTCCTGTCAAGTTTTATGTCAGTTCTCCACTCCACACACGATCCACCAGTGCCGGGGTAACACTCAGTAATCTGCTGCTGACATAGAAGGCTCTCCATCCAACTCCAGAAGAGATGATTTAACTCCAGTTTAGAGAGACCCTCCAGTACATCTGACTCTGTGGCTGCTGCACTCTCCTCCCCGACACTGACCAACAGCGTGGTCCAGATGCTCTCCATGTCCAGCAGCACAAACCTGTGTGAGCACCTGTTGTCTGTGATGAAGATGAACAACACAGCTCTTCCTCAGCTCAGAGCCAACCCACAGGTGCAGGTCTGGCTGGAACAGGTGAGCATCCCAGTGAATCAGAGTGGAGCAAACTGGGATTGACTTATTGTGGTTTTATGCACTTTTTCTGCTCTAAATTATGAAAGGTAACAGGTGAGATATTGCATTTTCATGTAAGAGAATTGCTTTTTTATTTTTGTTAGTCTGAGAAAAAAATATTTAAGATTACAGATAGAAGAATAGAATAGAAATAGAATAGAAAATCCCCTTTATTGTCCCTCAGTGGGGAAAGCTTGGAGTCACAGCAGCAATAACGTTCAGATTTTTAAACATATCTATAACAGGAGCAGAAAAGGAGAGTAAAACAAAAGAGTAAACAAGGAAACAGAAATACTTAAAAGAGTCAAAATATTAAAACGATGTGTATATACAGGTCCTTTCTCAAAAAATTTGCATGTTGCAATAAAGTTCATTATTGTCTGTAATGTACTGATAAACATTAGACTTTCATATATATTAGATTCATTACACACAACTGAAGTAGTTCAAGCCTTTTATTGTTTCTAATATTGATGATTGTGGCATACAGCTCATGAAAACCCAAAATTCCTATCTAAAAAAAATAGCATATTTCAATAAAAGAAAAGTGTTTTTAATACAAAAAAGGTCAACCTTCAAATAATTATGCTCAGTTATGCACTCAATACTCGGTCGGGAATTCTTTTGCAGAAATAACTGCTTCAATGCGGCGTGGCATGGAGGCTCTCAGCCTGTGGCACTGCTGAGGTGCTTTGGAGGCCCAGGATGCTTCGATAGAGGCCTTAAACTCATCCAGAGTGCTGCAGCCATGATGTTTGTACAATGTTTTTGTTCATTGTACAGACTTCTATTCTATTGAGGCAGCAGAGGGCGCTAAAGCCCAACAGATATCAAATCTACCGCGTGTCACGTGACGTCGCGCGCTCCGTTGTGCACCTGCACACAACGCGGCGAAGCGGCGCAGGAGGCGGAGCGGAGTTTGGATGCTTGAGCGGAGCTGCTTGCTGCTTTGTTTTCGATACCGACACAAGTTCCTCGGTGAAGTTTCTGTGGACCACTGGTGGAATAACTGGAGCAGAAATGGAGCTTTCGGCAGCCCGACCCGGACTCAGTCTGGTGCTTTTCAGCCTGTTCGCAGGTGAGTTTCTGTGGCGGTGCGTAAACGGACTGGAACGGTAGCCGCCGGTTATGAATCCGTCCTTCCTCGTTGGGTTTAAAGGAAATAAGTTTGGGGTTTTCTCACTTTCAGCTCGTTATTTACCGCCAGCGACCGAGCAAGCCGCAGTAAGTTTAGATAGTGGTACGGAAACGAACTCTGACCTAAAGTCCGCTCGGCTCGGTTAGCTAGCGGCAGCGAGCTGCCCCGCGGGTTCGTGTCCGAATCACGTTTAAAAGAGACGTTCGTTTCATCCGAGTCTCGTCTGAGAGCAGACGACACACACACACGCACACACACCGGGGGAACCCGTTTCTAAACCTGCTGGACTTAAGAGTGCCGCCTGCGTTTTGTGTCCCACCTGTTACCAGTTCAGATGGTGCTCGTCTTTGAACAACCTCAGTTCGGAGAAACAGAGTTGAGTTCTAACAAGCCAACAGGAGGCCACAGTTAACATGTTCAAAAAGAGCCTAAAACCATCTCAGCCTGGAGAAGGTGTTACAGATACATCCAGAAACATGCAGCTGCTGATGATCCATTCAGAAACGGGGTCTGCAACATGAGGGGAAACATCAGAGCGAGTTCACAGAGAAAAGCTTTTTACGTGTTATTTTGTAAACATGTTGGTTGGGACCGTTTTGGTGCGGTGTTATAATTAGGGTTGTCACGGTATGAAAATTTAACCTCACGGTTATTGTGACCAAAATTATCACGGTTTTCGGTATTATCGCGGTATTTTTTAAACGGTGTTGCATATGTTCAGAAAGCATTGATAGTCCTGTTCTACACAAACTGAAATAGTTTTGAAAAGGTTTAACAGTGTTTATTAAACCTAAAATAACACAAAGCCTTAGCAAAAGTGCAATTTTTCACAAGTAAAGGAACAAATAGCTTATTTTTCTGGAACATGTTACAGTAGTCAGTGCAGGTTTAAATTATACAAATCCAAACATTCAAAACATAAACAATATGTAAACAAATCAAAGAAACACCACTTGTTTTCTTCATTATCAAAATGAAAATCTAAAACTCCAGTCCACACTTGACTTGAGCACTGTACAAGTCAACCTTAAAAAATATGTATTTAAAATAAATAGCCACTTTAAACAAATTACTAAAATAACTACTACACTGTGTAATCAAATCCAAATGTTCAAGTATAAATGACATTGAATAAGTAAACAAATCAATGACAAGGAACTAATTGTATATTTCTCTTCATCATCAACAAATAAGATGCTTCATCCAGCAACAGGGTGTCCGTGACACGGTTTAAATGCTGGCAGAGGGCACTGCGGCTGCAGTATGTAGTGACTCGTTGCATTCTCCCTCAACCAAAAGTCCTCGCGTCATGCATTTAAGCTAAAATGCTAATGTTAACTTACCTTGCACTGGCTGTAGAGACGTGGGTGATCGTCACGCAGATGTGCCATTAGATTCAAAGTGTTGCTGCCTTTTGCAGACACTTGTTTCCTGCACGTTCTGCAAACGGGATAGCCGTCTTCTATTAACTGTCCCTCAGCATTTTTCAGAAATCCAAAATATGCCCATACTTCCGATTTAGTCTTCTTTGAGGACTGATGGATGTCCTGGGCGCTGCCATCTCCTCCTTCGGCCATTATTTCAGCTTCAAAGTTTTGGTGCCGTTGCAAACTAAAAAGTGCGTGTGCGCGCCGCGGGAACTTCAGCTGAAGCGACGGTGGCTGGTAAGGGTCACCGCGCCGAAACCGCAGCCACGGTAAACCCACCGAGATAATTTAGTTTTTTAAAAACTGGACGGTTATTTTTATTGTCAACTTTTTTTACCGGGGTCTACCGCTATACCGGTTACCGTGACAACCCTAGTTATGATCACCACTTTCTACATGCTCCTGGTCCTGCTCCACTTCCCTGCAGAGGAGCAGCCCCTCCTCCGCTCCTGCTCCTCCTTCCCACCTTCCGGCTGCGCTCTATCCCTAATCACCTTCTGAGCTTTTAAAAGGGCACGGCCAGAAGAACCAGGGGGTAGAAAGAGTGGGGAAGATCTTGAGAGTGAATGAAATCCAGACACACCTAGTTTTGAACCTAGTGTAATTTCATTGAGTTTGGTTTTACTCTGAGTTCTGTGGAACTTTTGGAGATTGTGCTCAATAGAGGTAGGAAATTGGTTAGTTTGAACCTACTTCCTATGCTTGCTCAGTGGAGCATTTGTAGAGGTTAAGTTAACCTGTTGGTTGTGTGTGCTCAGTGGAGCATAAGTATTGCTTTTGGTGTGTTTGCTCAAAAGCTCTTTGATTTAGTAATTATTACTGTTTTGTTTCCATTACCTTAACAGCCCTGTGCTCGCCCTTAGTTGGTTTGGACTTAATCGGTTTACTTTCTATTTGAACCCAAAAAGGGGAATAGCTGAATTTGTGAGTTTACGTTGACTTATTGCTTTATTATATTAGTGGAGCTGAGCTCAAGCTTGCGTGTTCCCTCAAGTCCTTGTTTTTTCCCTCTTTAGGAGGTCACCTTTAGTTCTTGTATTTAACTGACCTAGTAACCTTGCTTGAGTTTGGTCATTTATTTGTTATAAAATTGTTTGCGTTTAAAATCCTGACACCGCGCCTTTTATGTTACGACGTCCTTCACCTATACCATCACCAGTCGTAACATTAATGGGGGCTCGTCCGGGATCTTTCTTTCTATGATCGTAGTTAACCCTGAAGGACCTTTTTTATAGGCGTGAGTTTTGCATTCTTGGCAACGTTTTCTGGGCTGTGTGTATAAAATGGCACAATTTGAATTAAGGGCCTTTGTGGAGGCCCCGTCTCGTGAGGCATTGGAGGGCTGTCGGAAAGCCGATATGCTGCAGATAGCCGCCCACTTCAGTTTGGAGCTTCCAACCCCGATACTGAAGAAAACTTTGATTATGGACTTCCTCACTGACCAGGGTCTACTGCAGTCCTCCTCACCAGTTGCTTCCAGTCCTGACCGTGCTGCTCCGGATCCAGATCCAGACCCTAACCTGACTGATGGAGGGGAGTCGTCAACGGACGGCAACATGGGCGAGGTAAAACCCCTTGTTTTCCCCTCAGGCGGATCTGCAGCTGAAGGTTTGATGTCGGGGGAGTTGCAACGGAAACTTGAACTGGCCTGTCTTGAAGCCGATGGAAGGAAACAACGGATGCAGAGGGAATTGGAAATGAAACGGCTTGATGCAGAAACTGCTGTACGCATCCGTGCGCTTGAGCTGGAGGCCCAATTAAAGCCGACACCACAGATGACGGCAGAGGCGCCATCAGAACCCACTGTGAAACCAGCACTTGATCTCAGTATCTCCCTTATGCCTGTGTTCAGATAAGCTGAAGTGGATGGTTATTTTGTCGTCTTTGAGCGGATCGCGACTGCTCTTCAGTGGCCGCGTGACGTGTGGTCTCTGCTTTTGTAGTGTAGGTTAAGTGGTAGAGCCATGCAGGCAATGTCTGCTTTGTCGGTTACCGACAGTTTGAGTTATGAGCGTGTAAAGACCGCTATTTTGCAAGCTTACGAATTGGTGCCTGAAGCATATCGACAGCATTTCAGACACCATAAAAAGGCAGCAGGGCAGACTCATGTCGAGTATGTGTTGACCGTGAGACTGTGTGTGCTTGGGACAAGGGGCCGTTATGAGTTAGAGTATAGAGTTCTATAAACTGTCTGACTTACTAGAGTGTCTGTCAGCTACAGTGGTGTGAAAAACTATTTGCCCCCTTCCAGATTTCTTATTCTTTTGCATGTTTGTCACAAAATGTTTCTGATCATCAAACACATTGAACCATTAGCAGGGTATCCGCGGGTCCTTAAAAAGTCTTAAATTTGCTTTTCCAAATTTAAGGCCTTAAAAATCCTTAAAAATGACAAATATTCCTTAAATGCAGTTTCCAAAGGTCTTAAATCACCAAAAACCCAATAAACAAAATTCTTTTATTACTATGAAATTTTCGTGAATTTCTAGTTGGTGTTCAGCATTTTTTGTGTACGATATTGGCGTAAGCGGAACCGTACACACTCAGCTGGTTGTGCAAGGGGGCTATTTTTAGATGAGCACATTAGCTGGTTAAGCTAGTGGGAGCTTGCACCATGGGGAAGTGCAAGTTTAATGGTAACTGGATGGCTAATCCCACGTTCGCGACATGGTTAGCACCGGTTCCAGGCAATAGCTGGAAATCATAGCTTAAATTTAATTTAAAAAAATGGCTTAAATTTGGTCAAAGTGGCCTTAAAAAGGGTCTTAAAAAGTCTTAAATTTGGCTCCCTTAAACCTGCAGATACCCTGCATTAGTCATAACACAAGTAAACACAAAATGCAGTTTTGAAATGATGGTTTTCATTATTTAGGGAGAGAACAAAATCCAAACCTACATTGCTCTGTGTGAAAAAGTAATTGCCCCCTGAACCTAATAACTGGTTGGGCCTCCCTTAGCAGCAATAACTGCAATCAAGCGTTGACGATAACTTGCTATGAGTCTTTTACAGCGCTCTGGAGGAATTTTGGCCCACTCATTTTTGCAGAATTGTTGTAATTCAGCATTATTTGAGGGTTTTCTAGCATGAACCGCCTTTTTAAGGTCATGCCATAGCATCTCAATAGGATTCAGGTCAGGACTTTGACTAGGCCACTCCAAAGTCTTCATTTTGTTGTTCTTCAGCCATTCAGAGGTGGATTTGCTGGTGTGTTTTGGGTCATTGTCCTGCTGCAGCACCCAAGATCGCTTCAGCTTTAGTTGACGAACAGATGGCCGGACATTCTCCTTCAGGATGTTTTGGTAGACAGTAGAATTCATGGTTCCATTTATCACAGCAAGCCTTCCAGTTCCTGAAGCAGCAAAACAACCCCAGACCATCAAACTACCACCACCATATTTTACTGTTGGTATGATGTTCTTTGTCTGAAATGCTGTTACTTCTACGCCAGATGTAACGGGACAGTTGCCTTCCAAAAAGTTCAACTTTTGTCTCATCAGTCCACAAGGTATTTT